ACTCAATGGCTGTGAAAATATATGGCTACTATAATAATTACAACTAGCATTTATAGAGAGCTTTAAGGTTTGTGAAGTGCTTTACAAATATCTCACCCTCATTTGGAACATAGGTACTATCATCATGCCTATTCTACAAAAGAGGAGACTGAGACAGAGATTAAACAATTTGTCCAGGGTCATGCAGCTAATAAATGTGAGAGGTCAGATTTTATCTCTGGTCCTGACTCTGAGTCCAGCACTCTATCCACTATATCATCTGGCTGTCCTAGGAAAAGAATGCATGCTCAGTATAGGTCTACTCTTAACTTGACCTTACAATACTCTGTCTCCTAACTTGTTTAGGCAATAGAATTCACCTCTTTAAATGATGACTTTTAACATTTTTATCAATGATTTGAATGATGTTATAAAGACATGCCATATTTGTGGATGGTATAAAGCCAGAGGATATAGTTAAAATATTGGACAACAAGACTCAGGATCTGAAAAAGATACTGAAGATCCAAACATTAAGATATAGATAGATAGAGGGTAAGCTCCTTGAGGTCAGTGATTTTATTTTTCTTTTTGTCTTTGAATCCCTATCATTTAGCATTACGCCTGGCACACAGTAGACACTTAATAAATGCTTGATTGATTGGGATGAATCTAGTAAAATAAAATTGAATAGGGATAAATAAATAAACATTTTATACTTAAGATTCAAAAAAAACAACTTCACAAGTACCCAGTGGAGAAGAAATGGCTAGACATCAGTAGAGAAGCTTCTGTATCTTGTTGTGTTCACTCTTCACACTCAGAGCTTCCTCTATCTTTAAAGAGATGGGGCTAGCTCCAAGGCTAACCTTCTGTCCTGCCAGCCATAGGTTTGATTCTCAGCTGCTACAGTTCTCATTCATTCCAAAAGATACCAAGGATGTTCGGTACGTCAGCAAACTCTGTGTCAGTCATTCATTCATCCATTCAAAAAACATTTCCGACATAACAACTACTTGAGTAGACTGTATTCAAGAGAGCATAAGAATCAGGTCCTTGGGTCCCTGCTGAGTAGCCCCAACTGGGACTAGACCAGTCCCTGGATTTGGTATCCTTGCCTCTGCCCATAAAACTGCCAAAAAAGAAAGCAGATATCATTAGAGCCAATGAATACAGCTAGAGATGGCGATTACAAGCTTATAAATGCTTCCCATTCTCATTAAGAGAGCCCTGTTCCCGAACTTTCTGTTTCAGTGAGGGAGATGGAAGGAAATATTCTCCAGGGGCCATGATCTTCCCGCTTTCCTCCTCTTGACCTCCCTCCACACCCCAACCCCTGCAACCTCTCACTTAGAAGAAAACTCCTTCTTCACTGGTCAGGACACAGGCAGAAGTGAACCCTTTGTGGTTGTGGTTTTAAGGAAGATGTTTCCCTTGGGTCTGGAACTTCTTTCAAAGGTCCCAGCCTGGCCTCCTCCAGGCATTGTTCTCTGGCCTGTTTATGAAATGTCTCACTAGGGAACAGAGACTATCCAATTGGATTGTATTTCTTCATTTTTTACTGGGGGCAGGGGAATAAATATCAAATGGTATGAATTGCTGATGAAAATCAAATGTCGGAGGCAATAGAAGAGAGTGTGGGAACTCTGTCCCTCTGATTTAAGTGAGATTGCACGGGATGGATTAAGCCAGGGATGAGACTGAGTTCTATAGAAACAAAATAGGAATGCTGAGAAACCTGTTCACGTTGGCGTGATTATTTTCTAGGTTGGGGAAAAGCATGTTTAAGAACAGAATAATAGGCTGTTCCGGGATAACTCACTAACACAAGAAAACACCCAGCCCCCAAAGATGAGATTTACTTATGTCTATTTGACACAGATACATCCAATCCAGAGGGCATGGAATTTCACAGGATGTCAGATCTGCTCTCTTCAAGGCTGGATAATGGGCCTTGGTGACCTGATACTTCCTAGCTGTGTGATGGGCAAGTGGCCATCCTCTCTGAGCCTCAGTTTTCTCATCTGTAAGATTGGGATAACAATTTCTGTATGGTCTACCTCACAGATTTTTAGGTCCAAGTTAGATAGTAATTATGATAATAACATTTATATAATAATAATAGCTAGCATTTCTGGTAAGCTCTAAGGTTTGCAAAGTACTTTCCACACATCATCTCTTTTTATCCTCACAACAACCCTGAGAGACAGGTGCAATTATTATCCTCATTTCACAGAGGAGGAAACTAAGGCAGACAGAGATTAAGTGACTTGCCCAGGGCCACACAGCTAGTAAATGTCTGAGACCAGATTTGCACTGGTCTCTCTTATATCAGGTACAGCGCTCTATCTGCTACAGCACCTAGCAGCCTCATATAGTACTTTCAGATTTGCATTACTTTATATTATTTAGTTTTACATAATGTAAATAATGTGCTGGACCCTATGCTAAAAATAAAGCATATGAAAAACAAAGCTGAAAACAGCCTATAGATGATGATGATGATGATAAGATAGATGATAAGTGTGTATGTATGTATAGAGAGACAGTATATAATAGATTGATAGATTGGTAGGTAGATAGATGGATGGATGAATGATAGGGGTATATGTGTATATATACATATATATAGATGGGGGAAGAGAGAGAGATGGATGGATGGATGGATGATTGATGTGTGTGGGGAGAGAGAAAGAGAGAGAGGATAGATAGATAGATAGATAGATAGATAGATAGATAGATAGATAGAT